CTTCCACCTCATTCTGCTCTTGGTGCCAATCCTCTTCCACCTCATTCTGCTCTCGGTGCCAATCCTCTTCCACCTCATTCTGCTCTTGGTGCCAATCCCCTTCCACCCCATTCTGCTCTCGGTGCCAATCCTCTTCTACCCCATTCTGTTCTCGGTGCCAATCCCCTTCCACCCCATTCTGCTCTTGATGCCAAATGCCACTTGCCCTATTCAGACCTCCAACTGCTCAGAAATGTTGCCTGTGATTTTGTCTCCACTTCCTCCTCTGCATGTTGTGAAAAGCATCATGTCACTGGCACTAGGTTCCCCTTGATCAAGTGGAATCTGTGCTTTCACAATGCACATTGCCTGATTTCAGGATCTCCTGCTGGAGCTCAGTGTTTCCCAGACTGAAATATCAGAGCTTCTCCAACCAGCCTTTCAATAAACCAAGGTGATGTCAAATTCGAAGACCCACAAAGACTTGGAGCCTCTCAGATGGAGAAGGAAATGCAAATAAAAAACCCTCTGGGTCATTCCAAATGCGGCTGAATGGTGTTATGGGGTAAAGTCAGTCTATGTGGACAATGGACTTAGCTGGGTGGTCTGGGATAAAGGAGGACTGAATCTCACAAATGGGTTGGGATATGGAGAGGAACAAGCAGCAAGTGCACTTACACAAAAGAGCCGATGCCAAAACACCACAGGTTCTTTGTTTTAAAAAGGTATATTTCAATTTAATTCCTTAATTAATGTACAACTTTCTTAATAAAAATTAAAGGAGACCAACAAAACGACAACCTACAGCCAAAGTGTCTCGTGTGGTTCGGACTGAGCAGATAGGTTTCTATCAGTGACTCGACCAACGTCTCGCAGTGGATCCCATCCCAGTACCAGAGAAAGGTGGCAGCACTCCCTGCCAGAGATGAGGCGACCTCTCTTGAGAAATGGTCGAGTCGCCCTCCCCCATCCTGCCTCCTGAAGCCTGGCTTCCCCTTGAAACTGTGCCCGAACCAGCTGCAAGGTCTCTCCATGTCCTCAGCTCTGTGCCTCCCCACTCTTCACAGCCAGGGAGCTGCTCATTTCCAAACCCACAAGCCACTCACGGTTACAACACCCACTCCGGGATTACCGGGCAGCCTCAATAGGATCGCCCTGGGAGGAGGGCTTTTGAGGCTTTAGCCTGAAGACGGAGAGTTTCGGACGGCCAGGACAGTGGAGGATAAGGGAGAGAAGATGTGAGTTCTGTGTGTAGAGAATAGCACCCTTGGTAAAACGGCAACAATGGATCTGAGGGAGGTGTCACTGCTGCGTGGCTCACAGAATGGCACCGGTGAACATACAATGGAGAAACCAATCAGGATCCCTTCCCTGTGCACCCCGTCCTCTCCCCCACATGGTTCCCTTCCGGCTCCGAGTTTCTGAGGAAGCACATTCATCTGAGACACCCTCAGACCCTGCAGCACCCTGGACAGTTCCGATTGGAAACCTTTGGGAACACAGAGAGGGGGAAACAGCTTATTTCCCCTCTCTCCCTGGGGGGAAAGAGATAAAAAGATTCACATTGGCCAATCCTGGTTCTGTAGGTCACTAGGGGGGAGTGGGGGGCAGGGGAGAAAAAATAGAAGATATAAAATATATTGCACTCTGAGAACAGTTTGAAAAATTTACATCAAAACCCAGCACTTCTCGATACAGCCGTCGAGGGAGCGTGAAAGAATGGTTTCAAATCACAATCAGTGCTTTTGAATCATTTCCTTAAATAATGTGTTCGAGGAGAGTTCACGGTCGCTCTGAGCTGCCTGTTACCCAGGCACAGGACAGGATATCGCTCAGGGCTGCTCTCTCAAAGTGAGTGAGCGAGCAGGGCCAGAGAAGGAAGCAGTGCAGCGTGTCACTCCTCGATCACCAGGCCGCTATCGCGTCGTCTTTAAGCCTCTGACGTGGCCTGTGGTTTCAGGTGTGCCGTTTCCATCGCTGTCCCATGCGGCAGTTTGGCTCTCTCGAAGAAACCGAGCTACAAAAACAAAACACGCACAGAGTCACACCAGGACCTCAGCAACTGAGGCTGGGGCAGAGACTGAAACAGAAAAAACACATAGGGACAGAGAAAGAGAGGGGGCTTGGGGACAGAGAGAGAGTGTGAGGGAGAGAAAGAGAGAGAAAAGAGAGAAAGAAGAGAGAGGAGAGAAAAGAGAGAGAGACAGGGAGAGAAGAGAAGAGACAGAGACAGTGTCCAGAGATGTGCAGGCTAGGTGGGTTAGCCATGGGCAATGCCCCGCGAAAGGGAGTTTGAGGGGGCAGGATGCACAGCAGAAGTGAGACTGAGCGTTTAACACAAACTGGTCAGGATCCTCACACAGAGTGACAGATTGAACAATAAGCTGGGAACAGAACAGTGTTGGTATGATCGGGACAGAGGTCCCAGCAGGTCCCGATTAGATTCCTGGGTTCTCTCAGATCGAGCTGTTGTCAGTGAGAAGCAGCTTCAGTTCCTCAGTCTTGTTTGCTTCCTGCCAGTTCAGGAATTTGTTGAAACCATGAAAGGACAGCGAGCTTGAGGCTTGCTCTGCTACAATGCTGAGGCTGGCCAGCCTGGGAACACAGGTCTCAAATCCCAGCATGGCCACTCATTCAATTCCAAAACCGATTCAGTTGTGTGGAAGAGATAGAAGAGGTGGGGGCAGGGGAGTAATAAATCAGATCGTGAAAGCTCGTTTTGGTCCTGGTGACCATGACAACCATGAATAGCTGTCGTAAAACCCCATCTATTTCACTCACACCCTTTAGGGAGGGAAATCTGCCGTCCTAACCGAGTCTGGCCTACACATGACTCCAGTCCCACAGCCAATATGGCCGACTCTTAACTACCCAGCAAGCCACTCAGTTCAAGGGCAGTTAGAGATGGGCAACAAATGCCGGCCCTATGCCAATGATAGAATAAAAGGGATTGCCTGGATCTAAGCCAATGTCCCAGAGACAGAAGGCCTGGTTACTGACACAGATGACGTGAAACACACTTTGGAACTGAAAGACTAGGACAGAATGAATGCTGCAGTGGATTCTGGGATCAAATCGCCTTACCTTGTACAAGATGAAGATGACGAGAGCAAGCAGGAGCAGGCCGACCAACACAGCCAGAATAATAATCCAGAGTGGGACGGAATATGAACTCTCTGGCTTAATCCACATCACAGGAGTCGAGACCTACAGGCAGAACGGGACACGGGAAGCCTAAACTGTACTCAAAGCACACAAAGTTCTGTCCCATCATTCACTACCTTGACATCTATTCACCTGCTCAGCCATTCTCATACCTTCACTTCCAACAGCCCAGTCCCCAGTGAAACCCTACTCTCTTTTAATCTGCTCACTTCTCTGGATAGCCCTAATTTTGTTTTCTCAAATTCAAGTCACAGAGTTAGAGAATTGTTATACCTGTGGTGCAAAGTTTATAAAGATAGATTTATAGATTTCAATTGATCAGCATCAATACATTTATATCTATTTTAACATCATTTATTCTGGATTTTCAAATTTTTGAATTTAGAACTAGTGGCATGTGGTTTTTTTTGTGTGCTTGAAGGGGTTTAATGATTAACTTGCAAGTATTTCTGTAGCCATGGTGATTTTCTTTAAAACAGTGTGACAGAAAGACTTCCTGGAGAGTTTACACTGCGAGAGTTTACAAGCAAACAAAATAAACAGTGTACTGCATTAAGCTTTCTGGATTTTTTTGGGTTTAGGGGAAACACCCATAGCTTGGAAAGCAGCTTTTCAGTTTCAGTTTAGGCAGCTCTGCGGTGTTCCTGGCTGAAGCTGGATGTGCAAAACAATTGCTCCATAGAAAAGGGAGAAGATAGGTTTGGCATGGTTATCAATAGGTTACCTCAGAATAAGGAGTTTAGTTAAGCGTCCAAGACCAGAATTGTTTGGTTGAAACCCTGAAAGGGTTATTTGAAGCTGAGAACGTTTAAACTCAGTTACATGACAGATTAAGGATTCGCAATCACAGCTCAGTCAAACCCAATGAAGGCTTCTCTCTGTGTACTGCAATGGGATGCTGTTGGGATTAATGGGATTGTATGTTACAGCATTTCAAAGTCTATAAATGAGTGTTACATACAAACAGTTTGGTTTTACTCTTTTTTTTGCTTAATAAACTGTTTTACTGTGCAAACTAAATCTTCAGTATGATTGTGCTGTTGGACGGTCAGTGCTGAGGGAGTGCTGCACCGTCGGAGGGTCAGAGCTGAGGGAGCGCCGCACTGTTGGAGGGTCAGTGCTGAGGGAGTGCCGCACTGTCGGAGGGTCAGTGTTGAGGGAGCGGGCGCTGTCGGAGGGTCAGTACTGAGGGAGCGCCGCACTGTTGGAGGGTCAGCATTGAGGGAGCTGAATGCCGCACTGTCGGGCTATTTGGTCATGTGATGCAGCGCAGTGAAGGCTGCTGCAGATGGGTGCTAGATAAGCTGCTCTTATTTTACCCACAGCTGGAATGCCTAGTCGGTTCTGTGTGGCACTGTACCCTCTTAGCTCCTCTCTCATTGCCTCCGGGATTGCTCAGCGGAGGCTAAGTGTCAGGAGCAGCCTGCCTTGGCACTGCCATCCTGAGCAGACATTGTGCCGGCAGGTCAACGGGCAGCAGGTTGAGCTGTGACTGATGTGTGCCTGTGATCACAGGTGGCACTGTTTGCCCCAGTCACTGGAAAAGGTGGATGCTGCAGCATTATGCCAGCTTGTGACCTGGCACAAAGTGAGAGTTGGTATTTTTGCAACACTGAGAAACGGCAGGACAGGCAGCGGGCACAGGGGTACTTACCACCAAGCTTCCTCTCGGGTAGTCCTTTGGCAGGATTTGATAAGGCATGCTGTGCACTTGGAATGAGGCATTGCACGGCAGAGTGAAAGGGTGGTGCTGCCACTGAAAAACACAACGGCACACATCATGATGTGTAAATCCTGGCAGAAAGCATGGCACCTCACCCACTGCAACCAACTTCCTGTTCCCCATCACACTCCACACTGGATCACCAGCAGCAGGATCGTGCCCATTCACACTTGGACAGAGAGCAACGAGACTATCATCACACTTCAGTTTACCACAAACTCACTGGCAGCAAACCGTCCCATCGTTCCCTCTACTCTTTGCACCAGAAAGTAAAGCTCCCTCTACACTGTCCCCCACCAAACACTCCCAGCACAGGGACAGCATGGGGTTAGATACAGAGTAAAGCTCTCTCTACACCGTCCCCCCATTAAACACTCCAAGGACAGTGACAGCACGGAGTTAGATACAGAGTAAAGCTCCCTTTACACTGTCCCCCATCAAACACTCCCTGGTCAGCCTGTCCAGTAGGAACCAGACTGATGAGGCTGCCCCTAATTGAGGCAGGACCCCTGCACATCGTGGAACCTTTCCTTGTTCCCGCAGCCAGGTGTGACCCACTGTCTCTTGTTGCTCACCCCCCATGAGCAGTGGGTGCTCAGTGCCCCTGCCAGCTGCAAGTCCTGCCCTGCACCGCTATCGTCTGCACCAGGGAATGCAGCTTACCTGGAGGAAGGTGCGTGCCCACACCCGCGTTCGGATCTCCAGTGCCACATTGTCACCCCTGCTCAGCAAACCCACCTCACAAATCAGGCTCAGGCACTCCACGTGCTGGCAACTCTGCCAAGAGAAAAGGGTGCAAGATGGTTAGTTCTCAGGGCGTGGGCACAGTGCCCGTCACACGTTGACCCCTTTGCATCAAGAACGGGTGCTGATCACAGGCCAGGATGAGCACCCATCCCCCCTGCCCTCTTGCGGATGATGATGCTGCCATTTCGGCCTAGACTTACCCAGACTCCTATCCTGGCACCACCGCAGCTGAACCAGGTCAGGCTGGTTTTGCTGTGCATGGAGGCAGTGTGTTCGGGCATTTGCTGTTCCAATTTTTGGCTGAGATAGAAAGCAAATGCCAGCCTTTTCCTTCCAGTCTTGACCCTCTCTCCTTGAATTGGCATCATCGAAATCAGTGTTAGGACTCAGTGGTAAGCAGTACCCACCTGGGCCCTGCCCATCCCTAGCTATTACAATGCTGCTCATAGCATGCTAACAGCAATGTGCCACCTCATTCAGGCTGCTTGATCCTGCAAAACAGCCAGCAAGAACCTCTGTCCGGTCTGTTTTGAAGCCCAGCAAGTACACTCCGATAGCTCCTGCGGTTCCAGGCTCATGCACGACATGTGCCTCTTACACTAAGGGTGTCTGAAAGTTTTGGGCACTGCAGCTGGTCATCGACATACTGTGCCCAAGTGAGTTTCTGGAGTGTGCCCATTGACAGGCGTTACCAGGTGATGGGGTTATGGGCTGCAGGATGTGTGCCAGCTCCTGCTGGCATAAGCAGAATCCATCAGGAAGGTGCCCTTAGATTAGTGCCAAGGATTCCAGCTTCGGAACTAGAGCAGTGGATGGAATCCCCAGAATGATGCCAAGGAGCTGGTGAACAAGAAAAGGGAGGACAGGGTTAGAGTGCTCGATTTGGAGCAGGCAAGATGGGAGGAGACTGTGGAGGGGAATGGAAAATGGGTTGGGCCGACTGGCCTGTTTCAGCAGTGGAATCTCTACTTGACAACAGGCATTACAATCGCGAGAACGCTCCCTTCAGTACACATTGACTTTCAGTCAACTCCAAGCTCACATCCCAATTCCACGAGGCTTTCGTGTGCAACTTTCGACAAAGCTTTCTCCTTACTGACAATTTCAGACTCAAACTGACAATTGCATAGCATGCTGGGAATTTTCCCTTCACTCCTGACTGAATTGTAGCCCCCTTCTCCACACTATTTCTCAATCTCACATCAGCCATGACCTCAGTGAATGGCGTAGAAGACTCAAGGGGGCTGAATGGCCTACTCCTGTTCCTAATTCATATCTTTACATCTCTTGCTCTCTCTCTGCCCGAATCCTCTTTTTCTGTCTTCTCTTAGTGATGTCTTCTGTCTTTTTGTCACATTACAGAGAGGATTACCAAGCGTTAAAGAGGCACACTAAGGGTCAAAGAGCAATACGGAGAGGTGCACATCAAGGCCTAAGCAAGTGACCTGTTAAAAACGTTCGTCATGCCAGCCCAAGTCAACGGGTGCTTTGGGAAAAGGGAAAATTCAACAGCTAGGCCTCTAGGAGCAAGGAGGCCTAATTCGATCCCTGAAACCATCGTCAATCAGCAAGGAGGAGGGGAGCTGCGGTACAATCCCTTCAATAGTTAAAGCTCCTCGCCAGCAGGGGGCTCTGGGGTTTGCTTGCAATTTTATGACGTGTCTGATCAGCAGTCAATATTGTTCCGCTACAGTGACGATCTTTCCCTTCTGCTTTTTGGTGCCAAATCGATTCTCTCGTTTGCATCTCCCTTCCCACTGTTCTCGAAGTGTCCCATTTCTCTTGGCGTTTCTCCCTGCCACCATGGGACGGAGCTCTTTGTGGATCCTGATAGTTGCAATGGGAGAATGTGCAGGCTTACAGGGAGAATGGCACAACCTGAATCGCTTTTCACCCGTCGCAAAAATGATCACTGCATTCCCTTGGTGGGTCATCACAATCGGGACCCATTCTTCAATCTTTGCAAATTGAGACAAATTGCTCGTCAAATCCTGATCTTTCAGCAAATCTCTGGAGTTCCTTAAGTAGCATTGGCTCTCGATATTTGATAGTTGGCTCTGAAAACAGCAGGTTGCACGCATTGTGAATGAGCAATGCCACCCAATGGGTGGCACTTGGGAGTTTCCAGCCAGCTGGGCCAGTAGGTGACAAATGCACAATGTGGCCAACATGGGCAAATGACTAGAGCAGACTCAAGGAGCTGAAAGAAAGGAGGATTCTGTTAATTCAGATTGCAGATTCCTCTGGCTCCACACGGGAGTCCTGTCCCCAGTTCTTGGAGCCCAGGATGGATCGTGAGGACATGTGGTTTGGCTATTTCCACAGAGGAAATTGCACAGAATCACAAAGTCATCTGTAATTGCAAAATTTGATGGTACAATTGTGGAAGTCTCACTGGAGTAGAAGCAAGACGTCCACCCTATGGAGAAACTTACTGTAAATGCCAAGTCCCGCTCCCGGGCCCACTCTGCCATGGCTGCCGATTTGGCACGGCTGTGGCACCAACTTCCAGGACCTGTCGACTGTACTGCCACCATTCCCAGCTGGCGCTGAGTCGGAGGTGGCACTGGGAGTGGTGGCATTACGGTGACGTGAGAGTGAGCACTACAGCCGGGCGTGACTGGAGCTTGAGCAGAGACAGCGGCAGCAGCAGCAGAGTTGGCCCAGGGCGGGCAAGGGGGCTGGGAGATTGGCATTTACAGTAAATTTCTCCGTTCCATGGAAGTCTCACTGTCTCACTGCAGTGAGGCTCCTAGGATTTTACCATCAAACTCCAACTGCCTGGGTCATTGCTTTTGCTGCAGGTTCATTGTTATTGGTCATTTGCTAGTGCAAATGAGCCACCATAAATTAACCACCATTGGTTGGCTTACTGATTAAGGTTAGCCGCTATTGGTTGGTTTGCTGCTGCCGGTTAGCCGCTATTGGTTGGTTTGCTGCTGCCAGTTAGTCGCAATTGGTTGACTCACTGTTGCTGGTTAACTGCTATTGTTTGATTTGCTGTTGCTGGTTAACTGCTATTGTTTGATTTGCTGTTGCTGGTTAGCTTCTATTGGTTGACTTGCTGTTGCTGGTTAGCTCCTATTGGTTGACTTGCTGTTGCTGGTTAGCTTCTATTGGTTGATTTGCTGTTGCTGGTTAGCTTCTATTGGTTCTTTACTGCTGGTTAGCTACTATTGTTTTTTTTGCTGCTGCCAGTTAGCTGCTATTGGTTGACTTGCAGTTGTCAGTTGGCTGCTATTGGTTGACTTGCTGTTGTCAGTTGGCTGCTATTGGTTGACTCGCTGTTGCCGGTTAGCCGCTAATGATTGATTTGCTGCTGCTGGTTAGCTGCTTTTGGTTGGTCTGCTGCTGCTGGTTAGCCGCTTTTGGTTGGTTTGCTGCTGCTGTTTAGCCGCTATTGATTGGTTTGCTGCTGCCGGTTAGCCGCTAATGATTGGTTTGCTGCTGCCGGTTAGCTGCTATTGGTTGGTTTGCTGCTGCCGGTTAGCCGCTATTGATTGGTTTGCTGCTGCCGGTTAGCCGCTATTGGTTGGCCACTGCTTACGTTTGCTGGTTGGCTTCTGCTCCCGATCACTGGTCTCCATTCTGCTCTTGGCTGCTCCAGCTCTCTGCTCGGGCTCCTTCTGTCTCCTCATTGGTACTGTAAAGACTGGCAATATTACTGTTTAGCCAACAATCACAAGCTCTGTACCCAACCCACTGGCTGCTCCCAGTCATGGGGCATATGGCCTTTGATCTTACCTGAACGCTGTACTTGGTCAGTGTGACGCAGTGTCTCTGTGGCGATTTTATAGAGATGTAGCAATGGCAAACAACTTCCACAAGGCATACAATGAAGAGGGAAGTACACCCTCTTCCCCCATAACTGGAGAGAATATTAGAAGGCCCAAGGAAGAGAACATCACACATTTACATTCCAGAATCGAGCACCAAAAATCCATATCCAAAGCTAAAATCCACTAATTCTGAGCTGTTTCTCATTGTATATGCCTTGTGTCCTTGTTGCCGTGGTTACGTCCCTAAAATATGCCTAGGAAGCAGATCCATTGAGCAATGACACCTACTGAGCAGAGAGTCACCACATCAATGGCCCATGGCCAGCTTTGACACATGAGAAGGTTCGGGAAGGGGAGAAAATCGACATTGGGGAGTTTGGGAAGGAGATCACTTTCCAGTCACTGCTCTTATGGGACATGTCAGGCCCTGGGTTACATTGCAAGAAAATGACTCCAACACCATCCCAATCCATGGAAGTTCAGGCTGTTTTGTCCCCCCACCCATCCCCACTATCTCATAGAAACAACAGGAGGTGGGCTGGGACAATTTCTTAGGAGTCCTTGGGAAACTCAGATCCGCATTGCAGGGAGCCCACTTGCTGAGGACAAGCCGAGAGGGAGATACTGGTCTTCCTGATAATGGAAGTCATGAGTGGATTGGAAGTTGGAAGACAGGCAGCACAAGGATTCTCAAACCTTGCTGAAGGGTTGTGGCTAAGAAGCTTTTAGGTATCACCATCTGAAATAGAAACTAAGAGCAGGAGTGGGCTATTCAGCCCTTTGAGCCTGATCCTCCATTCAATATTATCATGGCTTATCATCCAACCCAATATTGTGGGGAGGGTGGGGGGGCCTAACTGTATCCTTTAATCCATTGTCATTGGCATGGACATTCAGGGTGGTCACAAGAGATTAACAAAAACTGTTCTCCTTCTCTTTAGATGATGGAAGAAAGCCCAGTGTTGATCAAAGGGTCTGATGAACTGTTTGGGGAATGAGGGGGCTGCAGGTTACTGTCAATGCTGGGAAAAAAAAAACTATCGCTTGTTTTCCAAGTAGGAAACGAACCTGAAATCCAGGCCGAGAGCAGCAGGAAACATCCCACAATCACACACATAGCAACACAGGAAGTATCTTCATCCAGTCCCCATGAAGCAGCGAGGAAGTCAAAATGCTCCGTCTCTCAATACAAGAGGAAATGTCAAGGTTTCCAATTCAATTGCTCCGGAAACTGGGCAGGCCACAATCCCAGGGCAGATAGGAAGGGAAGCTGGGGGAGGGTGGGTGGTGAAATGGCAAGTATCTTTCCCCAGACGTGTTACAAATGAACCAAACCTTGCGTGTATAGACTGCCGAAATTCAATGAACCCCCACCCCCACCTCCAATGTCAATTGAATATGAGACCTGCAACATGATTATCAGCACAGGACGGGCCGGGAATGGGAAACACACGGATTTTAGATGTGAGAATTCCTCAACAACCCGGAAATCTGGTGTGTCATCACTGGACAGCAATCAGGAGCAGGAACCCTGGCTGATTTCCCCCCCCCCCCCCCCCCCACCAACCTACCACCCCACCTCTCTCTCTCTCTCGCTCTCTAATCCAGGGATCACTGGTCAGTGATCAGGAGCAGGAACCCTGGCTGATTTCCACTCTGACTATATCAGGAAGTAGTCTATATGAGGAAGCAGTTCATACAAGTGCAGTCTGTATGAGGGAGCAGTCTATTTGTGAGAGTAGTCTATATGAAGGTGCAGTGTATACAGGGGAACAATCTATATGAGTGCAGTCTATACGAGGAACATATGGGTGAATTTCTCTCAGTCGGTGACAGGCAGTATTCCTGGTCCTACTGCGTGTTTATGCTGTTAGCTGCCAAGCACATCAGACTTGACAAAATTCCTAGCGAACCACAGAGAGGTTCCCTCAATGTAACACAAGCATCCATTCGGCCCATTCTAGTGCAATCTGTGTCGTTCCCCTGCTCTATCCTCAGGGCACTTTCCTCATTTACCTCCGCCCAGTGCCCAGCCAGCAACAGCCTCTTTCGACAACCTCTGCCTATCTGCTTCCTGAAACTGCCCACGCTTTGCCAGGGTTTACTGGGCACTACATCCCTCCCACCCACCACCACCTAATAACTTGCCAGAGTGGAGCTAGGACAGCAAGCATCAGGATATCTGAATGGAGGAGGCATCACAACAAGATGTGATTCAGTCCTCACTAAGGAGCAGGAACTCTGGGTGATTTTCCAATAAACATGATGCCCAGTGATGTTCACACCCCACTGAATGAAGACTAGGAGTGGGGGTGGATAGAAAAGACAGAAAGCAAATCAGCTGCTTGCATGGCTGGAGTCGAGGGATAAGCCGCAATGGGTTTTGCTTCAGAAGGGCTGGGCACCAGGCCTGAGAAATGCTTCTCTTTGTCAGGCTGCCAACTCTGCCTGGCCCCCATCTTTAACCAGGAGGGGCCAATCCTGTTGGAGATTTTTGTGGCACAAAAAGGGGAAAACATGCCCCCACCCCACATGGTCACCTCGGCACTTCAGGTGCACTGTGCCCTGGTAAGGGTGGTGCCTCCAATGCCAGGATGCCAACTGCTTGCCCTTTTGTCTGGAAGCCTTGCTCTGCTCATTATGGAATTGGTTCACCAACATCATCACACTGAACCTGTGCCTGAGCAAAATGAAAACCACACCCAAAGGTTCACGAGAAAATGACTCACCTTCAGTGAGTGGCAAGAGTGGGTAGAGGAAATCAGAGGAAGTACCAACAGAGATGGATGACCAGCCATGATCGTATTGAATGGCAGAGCAGACTCGAGGGGCTGAACAGCCTATTCTTGCTCCTATTTTTCTATGACTTCAAATTCCCATCCTTCCCTCTCTCTTGATCTTGCTCCAATTTGGATTGTGGCCCAAATATCTCCCCTCACCTTGTTTTACTGTCGATATTAGCCCCTGGGGACTGCAGACATTGTCCCCCACCCCTGCCTACTCTCTCCCAGCCCCCAGTTTCCGGGTCACTTACCAGGCTGTCCAGGTCCCCCAGTCGCTTCCTCGCAGCTTCCCGACGGCGGATAGAATGTTCCGTCTTCTCCGAACTGACATTCAGGGTCCGGGCTGACTTCGCTGGTGGGCTCTGCAGCTGGAGAGGGGGACAAAAGTTCAGGACGTGTTAGAAAACAGCAGCAGGTGGCCACTGGAGGAGAGGGAGTCAGGGTACTGAGTCCAACCCCGGTGGTTGGAAGAGCCAGTTGAGATCCCAGCTCATGCCGAGGGGGCTCTTGGAGCACTCCGACTTGTTCAATTCACACTGCTGGCTTCCAGCTGCTCACCAGTGCCCACACAGAGCTCTGCTGGAATTTCCAGGTTGCTGCCTGTGGCTCTGGGAAACAGCCTGCATCCTCCAGCAGCAACCACCAGGAGGCCTTGGTATATATTTGGTATAATATATATATTTACAGACACACAACCCTCCCCACACACATATACTCCCATACACACTCACACACTCCCACACACAGCCCAGGACGCAGTGTGAAAAGGAAAGAGAGAAAGGGGCAGAGAGGGGGAGGAGAGAAAGGGGGGAGAAGAGAAAGAGGGATTGAGAAAGCAGAGGAGAGAGAATGGGGGGGGGTAGGTTGGGAGAGAGTGAGAAGTCTTGCAGAATGCGGTGGGCTGACTGGCATAGGGCTGGGAGCCAGCCCCTGTCCCTGAGCCTGTGCACACCTCGCTGGGCCTTTGTGAAAGTGGTTCCAATCCTGGGGAGGGGTTCTGCAGGCTTGTGTCTGAGTCCAGTCTCCGATGTGGAACCACACAGGGTCCCTGCAGCCCTGTGGGAGAACAGGAGCTCACGGAGCTGACAGGCTCTGTCGAGGCTAGCTGAAAAGTTCTTTCCTGGAACTTGGCCAACATTTCCGAAAGAATTCTGGCATGTTGTCTGGGCAGGGCTGTTTGGAAAGCTGGAAATCCTGAATCAGGCGCTTGGGTTTGCTGGAGAGGAAATACACAACAGGGACACCAGGGGGCAGGCTACTCCAGAGAATCCCGTGTCGAGGGAAACCAGTCATTTGGTGTGTTGGACATTGCCGACAGCACCCACCTCCTGTGAATGGTGCCATTTGTTACTTTACAGAAAATTGGATGCAGGGCAGGTTCCCAACAGAGGCAAGACCAGCATTTATTACCCCTCCCCAATTGCCCCTGGAAAAGGCAGTCGTTTAACCCCTTGTTGAATCTAACAGCTCCAAAGCATTTCTGACAGTCTCTACCTTCTTCGCTTCCAGACTGCCTCTGACTTGTCCCAGCCCCAAAACAAGTCCCTGACCCACACACACACACAAACACCAACAGGCTCAAGCAGCTCAAAGGTGACTGCTCACCAGCACCTCTTCCAGGGACAACTAGGGATGAGGAATGAGGAATGAGGAATAACAATGCTGGCCCAGGCAGTGATGCCCGATGTAGTGCCAGCAGCATGGTACATCCTTGTATGGTGGCCCATGTAGCATAGACTGGTTTTCTTGTTGAGACAGCTCTCTGTAAGTTTATTAACGTCACAAACTGATGTATCTCAGCCTTGTCTCTAGCCTGGGTTCAGAGATGACCTTGCATTGCTGTGACATTATATCGCTGCCATTCCACAAGTGCCAGGGCAGCTATGGTTCTGCCCTCAATCTGCCCCTTGTGGCCCACTCAACTGGTGGGCATCAGTGCCCTCATGTTGTCTGCAAGCTGGTCTTCCACTTCCATCAGTGATTGTAATCAGTGCTCCATCGAGCAGCACCCCCAGACCCAGCCCACTACCCTATCCCTATAACACCACATGTCCCACCTAGCCTGCACATCCCTGGACACTACAGGTAATTTCCCATGGCCAATCCACCCTAGCCTGCACATCTTTGGACTGTGGGAGGAAACCGGAGCACCCAGAGGAAACCCACGCAGATACAGGGAGAATGTGCAAACTCCACACAGACAGTTGCCTGAGGATGGGATTGAACCTGGGACCCTGGTGCTGTGAGGCAGTGGTACTAACCACTGAGCCACTGTGCCACCCATCATCCTCAACACCAACACAAGCTGTAAAAGCTTCCTACATTAGACAGAAGGAGCAGGAGTGAACAAGATGGAGGGGAGGGCATGTGGGCAGTTGGTTTAAAAATGCAACTTCCGGAACACACAAAAAACATCAGCTCAGGCTGGTGTGGTAGTGTGGGGCAAGGACGCTGTGTCGAACATGGAGCCCATAAACTGCGTAGATTTACAGATATATCAGAAACAGAAAAGCAAAGACCAACTTGGCACAGTGGAGGGAAGATCAGGAAATTGTGAGCAGTACAAAGGAGATCAGTCAGTTTCTGAGAGAGACAGAGAGAGATACAACATGAATCAAGGGCTCTCGTACCTTCAGTCGCAGAGGGTTGAGGGAGCTGCTAGCTGTACAGTTCAGGAGGGGTCCAACAGTTTTATAATCAGTGATATACAACAGGCGCTCTTTCTGATAATGGACTGGACATGTCACATGCAGGATCGAGTGACTGATGGAGCTGGGACCATTGTTGGAAACCTTAAGTAATAAGGAGAACAAGGACAAACAGAAGTGAACGCAAACCCAATTTAATATAAAACATAGTGAGCAATTAAAGTAAACATACAGTCCACGTTTTAGAGACCACCCCAGGACAAGGACAGCACGGGGTTAGATACAGAGTAAAGCGCCCTCTACACTGTCCCCCAGCAAACAATCCCAGGGCAGGGACTGCACAGGGTTAGTACATAGTAAAGCTCCCTCTACACTGTCCGCCAGCAAACACTCCCAGGACAGGGACAGCACAGGGTTAGATTCAGAGTAAAGCTCCCTCTACACTGTCCCCCATCAAACACTCCCAGGGACAGGGACAGCACGGGGTTAGATACAGGGTAAAGCTCCCTCTACACTGTCCCCATCAAATACCCCCAGGACAGGGACAGCATGGGATTAGATAGAGGTTAAAGCCCCTCTCTACACTGTCCCCCATCAAACACTCCCGGGGGCAGGGACAGCACAGGGTTAGATACAGAGTAAAGCTTCCTCTACACTGTCCCCCATCAAACACTCCCAGGACAGGGGCAGTACAGGGTTAGATACAGAGTAAATCTCCCTCTACACTGTCTCCACAGGCTGTTCCATTGTCTGGGTGATTCTTGTGTTTCACCTCCTCAATTTTTTGTTGCCCATGGAGGGAGACGCTGTTGACTGTGCTGCTCAGAGGCCTTGTTGGCATGAGGAGCAGTGCCCATGTGGGGTACCCCTCTCAATGGAACAGTTTCATTGTCCACACCAAGGAGCCCTGTTGGTTTTGAAGACGTGGTGAAGGGGGACAGATTGGAAAGTGTGCCCAGCGTGTCATCACTTGGGAGACAGCAGGAGCTCCGAGCCTGAACTCCACCTGGCATAGCACACCAAAGTGTGCCAAGGTCCTTCACCCAACTCCCTGGTAAAGCTGAGCTGTGCGAGCTGAACCTTGGTGACGATACAAACCTCAAAGACGTATTTGAGTGGTGGCCCCACGTCCTCTTCGGTGATTGGTTCACTTCTGGGCTTTGGATTGGTCGTGGCGAAGATGATTTCCTTCGGGATAGGGGCACTGCTCAGAATGAGAGAAAAACCAGCTGTGAAACCTATGGTGTCAAGCCAGCAGGAATGGGCTAGTGGGTAAAGTGGGAAGGGGGGCACGCAGGGCAGTTGGAGGATGCATGACAGGCATTTGGAGGGCATGAGGGGCATTTGGAGGGCATGAGGAGTAGTGGGTGGGCATGAGGAGTAGTGGGAGGGTACGAAGGGCAGTGGGAGGGCATGAGCGGCAGTAGAACGGTATGATGAGCATTGGGAGGACACGAGGGGTAGCCTCCATATATTTTGGGACAAATAGAATGAGGCTTTGCCATTGGTAAAACTAGATGAATCGTCACCACGTGCCAGTTGGTGGAGCTCCCTGCGTATCGCGGCCTGCCCCATGGAGTCACCAAACTTGGGGGGGAGGGGATGATGTAAAGCGATGACCCTCAGCTTAGCCCATCCTGTCCCTCACTCCCCCCAACCCTCAGGATGGTACACTCTCAATGTTCAACAGCCCAGGCCTGAGGCTGAGCTGCCTCACAGGATGAGGGAAGATAGGGGCAGGGGGAGGAGGAGGGATTGGGGTGGAGGAAAAGGCTGGGAAGGGGGAATGAATGCCATGTGTGCTCCCTCAGCCCCTCATTCCCCCCCACCAAGGCCCGGACGGGCTCATCAAAAATCTATCCCAAAGACGTCCCCACCTTGGAGAAAAGTTCATGACAAAGAACAGGGTCTCACCCTCGAGTGCTGATGTGAGCCTCCACCTCCACCTCCATCTTGTAGGGCACAATGTCACTTCTTGAATTGTTGAGGTTCTTACTGCAGAGAAACACAGGAAGGTAACAATGGATCCCAGAGGCAGCTCTTCCTACACACTCAGCGACAGCTCGTAGGTGCTCAGCAGGTTCGTTCACACATGACCCTGGGGTGCTGACCAAAAGACCTTTCACCTCAAAACATGGCATTGCCCACTCCTCCCGCCCCATGCCGGCTGTCCGAGGCAGCTCAGGTTGGCTCCGAGCGGGCATTGGTGAACCAAGCCCACATTTGGTGCAGAGATTGGCCAATGCCTGATTTTCCTTTGGCAGTGCCTCCTTAACTGAAATGGTGCTGGGCAGCTGGGTGCCACCCACTTGGTGGTGCGGACACAGGTAGGTGAGAAGATCAATGGACTCTCTTGCCCAGCTGCCGTGGTGGGTCTCAGAGTCATACAGCCCGGACCGACCCTTCGGTCCAACCCGTCCATGCCAGTCAGACATCCCAAACTGATCTAGTCCCATTTGCCAGCATTTAGCCCATATCCCTCTAAACCCTTCCTATTCATATACCTATCCAGATGCCTTTTAAATGTCATAATTGCACAGCCTCCACCACTTCCTCTGGCAGTTCATTCCATACATGCACCACCCTCTGTGTGCCCCTCAGGTCCCTTTTAAATCTTTCCCCTCCCACCTTAAACCTATGCCCTCTAGTTTTGGACTCCCCCACCCCCTGGGGAAA